ACTTTAAATTGATACCAATTACATTGTTGTATGTATTCGAATTTTGGATTCTGATACTATTTAGTAACTCATTGCCACATTAGGGGAAATACAGCCCTCATCGCTTTGAAATTGTTTACGAAGTTCCAGTTATGGTTATAGACAACGTCTATAATTTGCGGCGATGATCAGATAATAGTTTTGAGATTCAATTTGTGTTTTTTCGAGTCGATCTATAGGCCACAATTATAAGCCGAACATCACAACACAATCCCCGATAATACATTTTAGAACTATTATAGAGGTATTGAATGAATAAAATGCTTCTATGGGAACATCTAGGAGTCTCGGTTTCATTTGCAGGGCAGCTGTAAGCCTGGATTCGTTATTATAAATATTACTTCTAATTCGTCTTTTCCATTATAGTAGTAATAGAAGAGTGGATTTTTGATTTTTGAATATTTTTTTTTATTTATTAAAGCTACTATAAATTTGGAGGTACGTTTTTAAACTTTTCTATGGTTCATATAAGCAGGATTTTTTAAATTAATATTTGTTCAGATACTACTTTAAGTCTGGATTTTTAAAACAAAATATATATTTTTATTTTTTTTTGTGATTTTCTTTTATACTTCTACGTTATAACTACAGTAATCCTTTAAAATCGTTTTCCTAGATTGAAATAATTTTTGAAAAATAAGTTTTTTAATTCCAAACTTCAGATTCTGACAGTCCTTCGAAAACATTATTTAAAACTTCATTCACAGAAATAACTTGGTTCAATACAATATAACTTGTTTATTTCTTTTTAACTTTCCAACAGAAGCCATTAACGTCTCTCCTAAAGTGATATATCACAATAAAACGCCTCCTTTTTCTCCTTCGGGATCATAAACAAACATTAGCTCCTTATTAATTATTAATTGCTATATCATAATTTTTATTTTGGAATAACAAACGTTTTTTTTTAAGAAACCCCAAAAACCATAATCCCATAAATAAAAAACGCCCCTGAAAGCCGATATCCCGCAGAGTTAATGGATTCTTAATATGATATTAGCCACACAACAATAATGGGATATTCCACACTTCCACATATCCACAAAACATCTGAATCTTTCTTTCATCGTTGATTGTATCACCTGAACTCGCATCAGCATCATAACAACGTATCACGTTTAACAACAAAAAGAACAACAACACAACCGAGGAAAGAGTGATACCATCAAAACAGAAGCCAACCACACAAAGAAAAATACCAAGCCCAAGACAATCGATGGTTGAGAGTTGGAGTATGGTGTTTGGTTTGGTGGCGCATGAGCACGCGCTTTCTTGGAATATGTTCAATTAACAATAACGACAACACCACTCGGCATGGTTTAACAAATTTAATCTCCACTAAGGGTCACCAACAAAAAAACATACAAACTAAATGAAAGAGGTGAGAAAGAGGTGTTGCAGCCATGAAGATGTTAGGTTTTAGCGCCACCATAAAATATTAAAATGGGAGTTGACGTCAAATTTTGTGTTTCAAATTTTTTCCCTAATAAAACATTTCCAAAAAATAGAAATTTATATTAGGATTGCTAAAAATCGATAAGACAGAGAAAGTAGGAAGTACTATTCCAGATCTCCAATATCCACAATAATATGTAAAGTACGAGGATAAGAACCCTTGGATGGATATGAGAAGTCTTGTGAAAAAAAAAACCTTTTATGAAAGAAGATCATCATTAGATATGTGTATCCAGGATTCACCCTCCCAATACCATTTTAATGACAGAAATTCTAAAGAGACGCCAACCTCCAGTCTTCCACATATTGAATACCTTATAATATGTATCGATGACCTTCAACAGAGCTTCTATAGACAATTGACCTTCTACGGGACTTCCACGGACATAATTCTTAAGGATTCTAAATTCTTTCTTGTATATGGTCCAAAGATTATTAATGTTGTTCTTCACAGGTTGAGAGAAAACGGTCGATTATAGGAAGGACATATAAAGTCCTTATATAGATATTATCTTTTAAAGAAATGAAATTTTCAAAAAAAAAAATCCTCTAAACACAGAAGAACTTCTAGAAATCTCCTATATACAGAAAAAGGTGTTCGATGTTCTGAAGAGTATATAGAGGTTCATATGAGGTTCCTAACTTAATAACTTATATACAATATCTGTAGACCAGAATATATTCTTCTACCTGTAGAAGACCTGTTCTGGTCCCCTACAGGCTGGAATAAGATATCTTAAAAGTCTTCTGTAGATGGCAAACCACCTGCAGGTCCCCGTTAGATAAAAACTCTTCCAAAGACAAATAGTTTTTTAAGTCCTCTATAGAGCACATAATTTCCATAGATCAACTTACAGAGGCAACTTTCCTTATTCAAGTCGGAAGAACTTCTACAGGTTTTCATGGACAGAATATATTCTAAATTTTTATTCAGATACAAATAATAATTTGAATACAATACAAACAATACCTTCTACAGGTCCCCCATAGATATATTTTCTGTATGCTCCAATGGACATAAGTTCTTCTACAGGTATTTTATAAATGAAAAACATCCATCAGATCTGCTATATATACAGCCTACGTTCTGTAGGACTTCTCTTTCCGATCATACACGGACTTCTTTAGGACTCTCTATAGGCCTTTCATTATATGAAAGATGTATAACATGATTTATAAATAAACAGAAGAACGTCTGCAAGACAGACTTTTTACAGAATACTTCCTGCAGGTCTTCTGTAGAAATATAACTTCCTTCTCCAGGTCTTATATAGACAGGAGAGCTTCTACAGTTTATGTATAGAAAGATTTTCTTTAGGACTTCTGCAAATATTTTATTGACGGAAGGCTTCTATATAGACGACAGGCGATCTGCATGATCTCTTGTCGACTATTTGTGAACTTTTCAGGACTCTATATTGACATCGATAATACATCTTACATTACATCTATATAGACATAAGATCTCAATTACTTCTATATACAGAAAACGTCTTCCAGATCGTCTATGGACTTTTTCAGGACTCTTTATAAGCCTCCCTCAAGCAAATGTCCTTCTATATACAGAAGACCTCTTGCAGATCTTCTATGGATTTCTTCAGGACTCTTTATAGGCCTCCGTCAAGCAAGTGTTCTTATTCAGGCCTTCCATAACCAAATATTTTCTCTAGGTTTTTCCTGACCCCTTTTAGTTTATCCTATACCTCTCAATGTCTTATCTAAATCTTCCATTGTATCCATATTAACATCGATTATTTCCATTAACCACTTCATATAAATTCTCATAAAACAGCTGTTCCCATCCATGCACTCCTCCTCCTCCTTTCGTAATAATTAATAATCCTCACCCCCCTTATTCTAAAATAATTTGTAAACTCTTGAAATCATATTTCCAACTTCCGCAATCGTTGTAATGACTTCTCAAAATAATTCGTAAACCATAAATAAAACAATAATCCACTCGGAAAGAAACCAAAAACAGCCAGCACTACTTCATTGCCAATATATTTTAATTGCCTCGGTTTGGGAAAAAGGGATCAACCTACTTTTCATACCTTGGCAACGATTCGAATAGTCTTTGACTTCGACGACCGGCGACAATTGTTGTGACTATTCATTAAGATTTTGGGTAAAACATTGCCAGCCTACATCAAATCCCCGTCTTAGAAAGTGGATTAGGCGGAGGATTAAGAGCAACGGCAGCCGAAATAATAGTAAACACTTGAAGTACACTTAGAAAGGAGGAGGAAGGAACCTGTTTTCAAGTGTTTGTTTTCGGCGGTGGTGCCCTCAAGCCGCTGAGATTTTGAGGCCTACGGAGGAGGAAGAGATTTTGTCAACAGCAAAACAAAATTTGGTTGCCTAATTTCTTGTCATCAAGTAGTTGAAGAAGAAGAGGAAGGAACCAGATACTGTCTGTGTGTATTTCCTTTTTTGTTGGTTATGACTTAAGGGCATGAAGTGGTAGTGTGTGTGAGTGCCTTTGAGAGAGTGTATAAGAGGGGTGGCGATAGTAGTTCCTCTTACCTGTTCAAAAATATATTTATTTGTTGTCTTACTTCAACGCCTCTTGTCATCACGGGCATGGTTTATTTCATTTCTCTTTTTCTCTCATATTACACTGTCTTTGTATTTTGTGTGTGTGTGCGTCTTAAGGCTCTCCGTTTTGATTTCATTGATGAGAATTGACTTTTTTATCTTGACTTCCACCAGAAAAGGCAAAAAGCCCAACAACACCATTTGTTTGTTATTGTTGTTGCTATATGTGGTGCAACAACCAACAGCAACAACGTTGATGTTGGGTTTGGTTAGAGAGCTCTGAGCACAGCTCAGCTCTTATGCCTCTAAGAGTCCACTGCAAGTAGTTTTGTAGGGATATACCAATCGTGGTGGTGTTGTTGTTTTTGTTGTTGCTGCTGCTTCTGATGTTGTTGTTCATTGGTGTTATATGTAATACCGGCTTGCTTACCTAAGCAAGAGTGGTTGTGCCTCTGACTCCGATATTGCCTTTTAAGTTTGTGTGTTTACTTTAACAAGTTTTTTGTTTGGTTTAGTATCTTGGCCGACCTCAAGGAAGTCACACTAAAACGGCCGTTTCAAACATAGAAATAAATTCGACACAATCGGAATATTCGTTATTATAGTAAAATAAAAAACAATCAAACAAACAAAATACTAATAGTATATTACGGAAAGTGCGAAATTTTGGAGTTATAAAAACAACAACAATCCTAATAAAAACATAAATTATAAAATTTGCAATCATTTAAACACCTAATAATAATATTAATGAAATAATAAGTGAAAAATATTGTAAAATTTATAAAAATATTATTTGACAAAATTATTATAAAAAAGTTGAAAATAATTAAGTGTATTGTGTGTTAAGAATATATCAAAAAATCTTGTTGGAATAACAGCTCACCAAAAAATAAAGCAAATAAAATAATCCGCCAAACACAAATTTTGAGAACAAACACATCAACCAAAACAAACAAACAAGAAAAATGGGAATTCTATTAAGCGACGGCGAAGTAAGTCTATTATAATTTTTAATTTAAAATATTAAAAAAAAACAAAATTACAAATACATTAATATAGTGAAAAACTTCAACCATCTATGGATTATTTGTAACATCCAGGACTTGGTCCACCATTGAGGAAGTTTGAGGTCAATTATATGCAATTTAGAAAGAGTTTAATCATAAAAATAGGGATATGGAAAATGATGGAAACGAATTTGTGTGAAGATGTACCCGGTTTTATAGGAGAAAAGGTGGATCCATTCTGAAGTTAAAAGATATTGGCCTATATATGCTGTTATTTTCGAGGAAGTCTACAACAAGTATTTTGGGGATTGGAAATATTACGAAGCTGAGTTCAAAATCCAACTACAGAAAATAATTGGAATATAGGGCTATTTTTATTTGTCCAGACCAACAGCTTCGTCCAGTAGTAAATCGTAAAAATCAGTAGTAAATTGTCATTGGCATAACGCTGACAACCAATATCTGGGGAAAACATCTTATTTTCAAAAATAATATTGTATTAAAATTTACATTAATTTGCTTTACAATTAATTTAATTAATTAATTTAATTTGGACTGTACACTCAAATTTTATTGTATATGTTTCTGTCAAATATTAAAGGCTTAATGCTCTCACTCAGTCTACAAAAATTTCGAAATATTAATATGGGATCACTTATATGACAGACGGGAAATCATATTAGCTTCATATTATTATTGAAGAGATAATTTGAAGAGTCTAGGCGATTTTATTTTTACTTTGACTTAAAAACATAATAATTCTTAATTCCATTCCTCACAAATCCATTAAAGTGTGCCCTCTAAATTCGTTATATTAAACACTGCCTACATTTAACGTATGCCCTCCGTTGGGCGCCAATTCGTATTACAACAATTTTGGAACTTACATCTGCAGAACTCGGCACATTAAAATGTGCTACATTTAAAGCCTGCTCTTCATTGGGCGTCATAACTTTGCTTTTGTTTAACTGTATGTCTACATTGGGCGCCACTTTGCAATTTTGAATGGAGTTTTCTAACTTTTCATATGCCTAATTTATGTCGTAATGTCCCAGTACAAAAAACTGGTTTCGGACTGCCGTTGAACGCCACTTACGAATTGCCTTGTCTTTTCGGTTTTTAACTTAGTGTCTGCGTTGGGCGCCACTTCTCAATATTGAAGTGTTGTATGGAGTTTCTTAACTTTCAAAGAGCTTAATTTATATCATAGTATCCCAGTACAAAAGCAAAGTTACGGTACTTGAAATATATCTTTTTTGGACTGCCGTTGGGCGCCACTTAAGCATTGCCTTGTCTTTTTGATGTTTTAATTAAGTTTCTGCGTTGGTCGCCACTTGTCATTTTTGAAATGTTATCAGATTTTTCATGAGTAGTACAAAACAAAAAAAAGTTTTTTTTTTTGGGGGGGGGGGGTGTTTTAGTAATTTTACGTTTCGTAAAACATTTCTATTTTTCGTTTTAAATCATTCGTTTCATAAAAAGAGAGATACAGTTAACAAACTGATTTAATTTCTATTGAACATTTTATCTGGCAAAGAATTTTTACACTGAAATGAAGGATACAAAGGAATTTTGGTTGTAAAAGGAAATGTTGAGGGAGGTATAATGCAACCCTATACAGCTTTTAATGATTTTCAAAACATAATTGCTATATATTTTGTGATTTAACAATTTTTAAGGTAAATAAAAAACCCTCCTTTAAGTAAAATCTAAATTATATATCGTCCTTGAACGATATTGAATTTTACCAACTTATTTTGTATTTCTTTTAAAAGAAAGAAATAATATATTTTCACAATGCTTTCAAAATTGACACAGGATTTCCTTATGTTTCCTATAGCACTTGTACTATTCATCATCGTTTTTCCAATCGCAATGAAATCATCAAAACATTTCAAAATTGTTCTGCCACACTATCAAAACTTCCATCAACGCCATACAAAAATAATTTCAACACAATATAGTAATATTGAAAAAATAGTACTAAAATGTTTTTAAATTGTCGAAGAAACAACAAAGTTAATTTTTTCCTCCTATCATACAGAGACAATTTGAGAATATTGAAAAAAATAAACAGAAACACTTGAGAGCTCCCTGGAATCGAACGAACTCTTTACCGGATAAAATGTTCAATAGAAATTAAAGCAATCTGTAAAAAAACTTTATCTTATCCATTAATAATAAAAACGATGATGTATGAAATTAAAGCGTAAATTGTAGACGTAAAAGTTGAAAGAGGAATAGTTTGGCCAAACAAAACCAGATGGCCCAATCCGGATCTAAAAGAGGGGTACATTTGGTTTGATTGCCAGGGGAGTAGGAAATTTTAAGAGCCATAGAAAAATATATATAAATAAAAAAGCTATATTACATAATATTTTGAATGAAGAATCGAAAAAATATTATTTATGATTTCCAAAGTTTCCGGAAAAAAACCGTATTTCTGATTTCCACAATTCAAAAGAACTACTATTATTTAAAAGAGCTTTTTAAAAATTTAGCATTTTGTATTTTTAAATTCCGTATCAAATTACTTTATTTTCTCAGATATTCTCCTATAAATATATTTTTTCATTTATAAATGATAGCTTTTTGCATATTTTTACTTTTATTTCCAATCGATTAATGAATTAAAATATCCGTCGGCAAATAACTTCCAAGATTTTAATTTCTTAATTCATCAAGAGCAAAAAACCTGTCTTGGTTATTAATCGGTCGCTTAATTCCGTTTGATCTCTGCTGTCAAACAAAATTTTCTTTCAAACTTGTTGCCCTAAAAGGATTTACTCCACACCAAAAGCAAAAACAATCCAACAAAAAAATCTTTAATATGGGAAATATTTCACAAAAAAAAAAAAAAAATATTTTGATATGCAAATATGTCCAAACAACAACAAGAAAAGGAATGTTACACTTCTGAGGTCCGTATCATCACCCTGAGCCTTTATAAGGCTCATTGGCTGCATGCCACAGCAAGAAAAGGAAACAAATCCCCAAAGAAGAGATCAAAAACGCGGCAATTTGATCACACATTTATAAACGCCACTTCGGTTTCAATATCACAAAAAGAAATCTCTTCAATGGATATCGATGCGATGCAGCCGATACCAAAACTCGTTCGATCGGCGCTCAGTTGATTTTTGTTTTTTTCTTTTCGTTTGGTTTTGCTTTGGTCGGCACACATCAATGACATTTTTCGACAACATTAATTCAAAACAAAAATCTTGTCATTAACCCAATAAAGGTGATCAACATAAGAAAAAATAAAGTGGAGCAGAGAAAAAAAATACTCCACAATAACAACAAAAACAAATTAGCCGTACTACTCGAAAATTTGTAGACAAAGGAAGGCAGATTGAAAAAAAAAACTTGCCAATTGGTTTGGGAAAATTGAATTCCCCACAAATCAAAAAAAGTTTTTTTTTTTTTAAGTTGAGGGGGGATTTATCCTTTCACCCTCCTCGATATCCAAAACGCTTAAAAGGCATTTAATTACCGGCCATAAAAAATCAATTTAAATATCTTGTTAAAAGAAATCAATAAAATTCGACTTCGAGGCATCACATTTGCCATAACAATTTGTCATCGTGAATAAGTGGAAAAATTGGTTGAGGATTTTATGACTGGAGCGATGATTTTATAACCTCAATAAGAAATTATTGTAGACATGATGATTATTAAAAGGGAATTTCCTAACAAAGCCAAAAGCAGCTCTTTTTTGATTATAGATAAAATTTAGGGAGCGATATAATCCCCCATGGATCAATTACTTTCAGATTATCCTGTTAGCCACAATATGTTGATAGTTGCCCTAGTTTTGACAAGTACAAAAAGTAAAAGACCTTTAACTGGTCATCCTTTGACAAAATACCTTTCAGACGGAGATCATTGCCTTAGAACACTTTAATCAGATTCCCCAGACAATTGTAACCCAATACTCAGAGACGACACACTCCAAAAATAAAAAAATAAACAAACCAAAGAAACAAGACGTCATACTCTAAAACTCCTGCGGCAGACACACAACCACACTTGAACCACGATGATACACGATGATCTTTAACAAAGGACACTTGGAAGCCAGCAGACAAGTGCGATCATTGCCCATATCCGCCGCTGCTGTTCATCATTTATTGAATCATAATATTTTCTATAAACAGATGAGTGTTAAAGGAAATAAAACCTTAAGTGGTTTTCAAAACAAGAGGGTCTCGTCCGGCTACCACAAAAATGTCATAAAAGGATGATCAGTTTTTTTATTTCATATTTAATACCACAATGCTAACAACATCTGTCAGCCAAGCAATCCATCAAGTTATGATTATTATGATAATCATCAGCTATGCTCAAAACTAGTTAGGAAGCTTTATCTCCTCTTTGTGTACATAAATTTGTGGAGGCTATCATAAATTGCCCAGGCAGCACTACCAGTAGTAGTAGGCAGCCTAAGAACAAGGAATAAGTTATTTTGTTGTATGGAAAATGAATGTTGTCTTCCATTGCTAGGCAAGGAGGCTGATTAAGGCAGGGGCGTAGGGGAACAAATTGTAGAAGTCACAATAGCGAAAATTACAAAATAAAAATAATTGAAGACTACTAGAAGGGTTAAACACAAACTCAAACAATATTTAATACTTTCCATAAAGCGAGCCATCCATTGGGCGCCATATCCCTTTAAGAAAAAAAAAATTAGTTTCTACAAAAATCCATGTTTCGAATGTGTTTAAGGGTACTAAATGGGCGCCAGATCACTACATTAGAAGTTTTATTTAACGTTTTCACTAAAGCGAGCCTTCCGTTGGGCGCCAACATTGAAACTAAATTCTAAGAAGATGGGTATAAGGAATAACGTCAAGGCTGACTATATATTGCCTTCTGCTATCAATATAATAAAAAATGAGCATCATATTCTATTGCCTACAAATTTAATTGTCGATTTTTATTAATTCAACCGTGCAATGGACGCCAATCGCAATAGTTATACTCTGCATAAATACGTTTCTATATTACTGAGGCATTGAATTGATATTTTATTCGTCTGAAAAAAAAAATTAGTGTATTTCTTAAAAATAAGGGACGCAACTTTGGCGCAACTTTTGTAAATTGAAACCTCGAATGAAGTACTCTGGCTTTCTGTTTACTTTTGGCGCCATATCCCAGTTATAAAGCAATGGTTTCTGAATTTGGGGGCCATATTTAAATAAGAGACCCTCATTGAGCGCTATTTCTATAAATTTATACTTCGAATGAAGCCCTCTGGCTTTCGGTCTCTAATAGACATTACTTTTGGAGTGATATCACAGTTATAAAAACAATGGTATCCAAAATTGGGCGCTATATTTCAATATTTGAACTTTGTTTCCCGTTGGGCGCCACATTGGAATTGCCTAATAATTGCCATTTTCCATTAAAGACGGAATATATTAAATTTATTATTTTAAAATGAATATTTAAATTACTATTTTTGCTGGTTGTCATTTGGGCGCCACTTTAGAAATGCCTTCATAGACAGTTCACATTTCCTTAAAAAAAATTAAATTTGTAAAGAAAATTGAAATCGAATTCTTTACATAACATTCTTTGAAAATGTGATTTTTCGTTGGGCGCCATATCTGCATACTGAAGATTTTGATTAAATTTCCTTTGCTTCCCGTAAGAAGGTATCTCAGATTGGATTGTATTCAGCCTTTGCATGCATACTCCCTTAAACACTTGCCCAACGTTGGGCGCCGTATCAAATTTACTTTGGAAAATGAAATCTAATACATGTCATTCAAAAATGATCTTTAAATGAGATCTGTTCCCTATAAATATGCCCTCTATTGGGCTTAAATTCTCAACATATATTTATTGCCTTCGATTGGGCGCCAAACGTAACATTTTGAAGTTAACTCATATTTGGAACAAAATTAAGGCTTTATATTGAATTTAGGTTAGGCGCCATATTACATTTGCACAACATTACCTTTTAGCGGCATTTCACTATAAACAGTGCCCCTCTCGTTGGGCGCCATACGACTAGATTAAACTGAATTTAAATAATTGTCATATAACATTTTGCGCACAATATCTCATCTGTCAAACTACTGTCCCTTTCTACTACGCCTCTGCTATATCTACTATTACTAGGCCTTTTGCTAACTCTTTTTTTTATTGCCAATCCTATTTGTAAAAAAAGGAAAAAATTACACATCATGAGTAACAGTAGACCCAACAACATGGAACACTGCAACGAGTTGGCCAAAAGAAACTGTTTGTATTTTGCCGCACTGGTTATAAACATTCATAGGCTCTCTCTCACACACACAATCTCTCTCTCTCTCTACTACTTCTCAATATGGTTACTTCAATGGTTTTGCGCCAAAGCGCGTTTTATTTAATGCATTTTCGAGTGGATCAATTTGTCTGTTGTTCGTTGCTTTTTTTGCCAAGTCTTTATTTATGGCATCAGGAAGATGTAGACACAACGACTGGCAGCCACAAAGAGAAGCGAATGGCATTAAAAAGTTTCAAAAAAAAGTTAAAAAAAAAATAATAAACGCATCTGGATATATCTTATAAATGGACTGAAGATGAGGATAAAGTAGGGGATGTAGAAAAAAAAACGTAACAATAAAAACCATCACCAAGCAAAAAGGAAGTTAAGTAATTTGTGTGATCACTTTGTGATCTTAACCAAAAGATCAATGGTGAAAAAATAAGGCAACAAAGTCTTGGACACACGAACAATTGATTGTGAAACAATTTGATGACTCATTTTCGGCAAACAATGCCAACAAACAACAACAATTCTTTGTTGCAAATCTGTTGTGCTACGGATACAATGATGATTGTGTCTTTGATTTGATTCGTTTTTTTGTCATTCCCTCTAATTAAAATTCAAATTGTATTCAAATTTGATTTTATTTCATTTTCAAACACAGCCCCACCTCCATTCATCTCCTTTAGAGTATTGCCAATACATATTTTTATTTTTATTTTTTTGTATAAAAAAACCCATGTTTGATTCTTTGTAATTTATTTGTATTATTTGTCACTTTACGATAAGATTAGATAGAGGCCAAGTTATAGATCAATATTTGTCGGTTTGCAAATTTGTTTTTATTACTTCTTTGCCTCGCTGTTCCATTTGCGGTGTGAATATGCTTTTCACACGTCTCTCTTTTGACATCTATCGATTTGAAATAAATTCACACGAATCATTGTAGGTTTTGCAACAATATTTGATAGTCAAAACAGAAAAAATTATCAAAGGTTGTCAAAAACACGATCAAATGAAAATAAATTATTTAGTTTAAGTTTTCTGTAAAAGAAATGTTCATAAAATGGGGATAAAAATCGGCACTACATCTATTTGGCACTAAATGAACCCTTCCAGTGGCCTTCAATTATTTTTTGCAAAAATTGGGCGCCATATATTAATAATAAAATAAGAAACCTTCGTTGGGCGCCATTTCTTTAAATTTATATTTCGAATGAAGCCCTCTGGCTTTCGGTCTGTAGTATACATTACTTTTGGCGTGATATCCCAGTTTTAAAACAATGGTATCCAAAGTTGGGCGCCATATTGTAATATTTATACATTGTCTTTCGTTGGGCGCCACTTTGAAATTGCCTAATAATTGTTGTCATTATAAAAAATTCCTCTTCCTTTAAATAAAGGGCATATGTTTGGCGCCATTTTTGTAAATTGAAACTTTGGATGAAGTCCTCTGGCTTTCGGGCGCAACCACTGTTATAAAATAACAGTGGTTGCCAACGTTGGGCGCCATATTTTAATATTAAAATAAGAAATCTTCGTTGGGCGCCATTTCTGTACATGTACACTTCAAATGAAGCCTCTCTGGCTTTTGGTCTCTAATATACATTTAATCAATTTATTAGCAAAATTTACTATGATAACAGCAGTTTAAATGGCGCCATGTTCCATCTAATTTATTTAACAAATCCAGTTCCATAGTAGGATTTGTTTCTTATATTGACTCGAGATTTACATTTACAGTGAACATGGGGCCTAACTTCAAAATGCTTCTATTTTCATTCACAATGAACAGATCTTAATATTTTTGTTCTTAGTGGCGCCCAACATCGAGTTTTTACACTTATTTCAAAATTAATTACTTTTGTCAAGATTTTAAATCTGTGGAAATGGCGCCCAACATGAAATAATTTTTCTATTCAAATTATTCAACCATTTTTTTTTTGTATATATGTGTACAGAAATATTAACCGATTTTTTAACGTCCTCTGTAAAATTCTACCAATAAACTTTACAAGATTAAGATTATCTGTCATTATGAATTTATGCATTCATCATTTAGCAATAAATTAAATTAATGACCCACACTGGGCTAAATTAATATTTTTAGAATAACATATATTTGCTAAATATCGACATTAATAAATGGTAACTTCAATCCGAACACCAACTTTAAATATAAAAATTCCAATTGTGTTTATGGCATTACAACTTGTCGACAAAAACTTCTGTAAGACGTGTGCAGCATTTCGAGGCGATTTGGTATTTTTTGCGAAGCAAAGAAGAAAACGCACACAAAAAATATGAAATAAATGTAAATCTATATAACCATCGAATGGCCATATTTAGCAGAGCGGAGTACCAGCACACATACTTCATATGCCTACCACATACCACACGTTTACATGGCGTGGCATGCAACAACAAATTTTGTAGGAAAAAAAATGTGCCCAAACAACTTACAAGATGAAGAATGCCAACGAAAACAAAGAAACAAAGCCATGTGAAGAAATAAAATAAAGAGGAAAAAATAAAACAAATGTAACGTGCAATAACGCCATTAAAATTTGTTTTTATGTTTAAGAATTTATGGACAGCTTTGAAATTATTTTTCTGCTTTTTCATGGTATGGACCGAGAACAGTTTTCAAAACTAAAACACAAAAAGAGGAAAACATGCGTATTCCATAGCATATTGTGTGTTTCCACCGGGCCTGTATGAAAATGGTGGTGGTGGAGTTCTTCTCTTATCAAAAGTGGGTTGGGCTTATTCCCAAATAATTAATGATCTTTTAAAATGGAAAGTTTATGTTTTATTGTTTACAAAAGAAAGAGGGAGGTAACATTTTTGTGTTGGTATTAAGGTTGCCATATTGTATTGAATACCAAAGGAATTCTAACCAGGTCAATATAATTTTTTATACGATTTTGATTTTGCCGTCGGCATTTTCAATCGCTTTTATAATCGTACACACAATTTTATTTAATTTAAATACTTCAGATATGATTTGCAGGGTTTTTTTTTGAAAATTAATCAATATGGCGCCCAACAGTTTTTATTTTCAATTGACATTACCATTATTCTATAAAGTTGCATTTTGTATGACAATTTTTGACTTAACTTTTTGGCGCCCAACATTTTATATTCATAGCTTCTATTGAATCAGGCACCCAAATTGACAAATCAGCAAACTTTTCATGATTACGGATATCTGGTATTACATTTTAATTTAATGGCGCCCAAATGTTTCACAATCTTTAATAAATATGTTATTAAATAAATATGGCGCCCAACTCGGCAGATTAATTTATTATGCCACTAATTCTCAATATTTTATTAACGATCTTCTCTCTTTCTTTTCAGTCAAATTCCGATCAATTATCCACCCGGGAGCAATTGCTTTTGCAACAGGAACTACGAAACAATAATTCCGCCTCGGGAAATTATCATCAAAGTTTGGGACAGAAATACGGTCTCAGTTCGTCATTGGATCAACAGCAAGATTTCCCCTTACACACCGCTAAAATGTATCACTCCAGTGCTGGATATCCGGATTTAAGTGGTTCCTCGGCTGCCAGTGGTGTTAGTTCATATCATCAACAGGCCGCTGCAGCAGCTGCCACAGTTAGTGCTCCCGTCTATGTGCCCTCAAATCGTGCCCTTACCAATAGTCAATATCAACATGTTGCCGCACATTTTGGTACAGCGGCGGCGCAAAATGCCTGGACTTCAGATAGCTTTGGTACAGCGCATGCCCAACTGCCACCACAATTCTATACACAAAATGCCGTAATGATGGGTTCATGGCGGGCAGCATATGATCCCACCGGTTTCCAACGTTCCTCACCCTATGACAGTGCCATTGATTTTCAATTTGGCGAGGGCCGGGAATGTGTGAATTGTGGAGCGATCAGCACGCCACTATGGCGGCGAGATGGTACCGGTCATTATCTATGTAACGCTTGCGGATTGTATCACAAAATGAACGGTATGAATAGACCGTTGATCAAGCCAAGCAAGCGATTGGTGAGTGCAGTGAGTGTTCGATTTTTTACTATTTTTTTCCTTATGGGAAATTTGAAGGCAATTTTAAAAAGGTTTTCCGAATTTTTGTTAGGACGATAATTTAAAATTGCTTCAGTTTCCCCATGTCTTACCAAAATATCCACATTTTACTAATTTTTTCTATTTCCTTATTTTAGACTGCCACGCGCCGTTTGGGTTTATGCTGCACCAACTGCGGCACCCGCACCACAACTTTGTGGAGACGCAACAACGAAGGTGAACCTGTGTGTAATGCCTGCGGCCTCTACTTTAAACTGCATGGTGTAAACCGACCCTTAGCCATGCGCAAAGATGGCATACAGACCCGCAAAAGGAAACCAAAGAAAACTGGAAGTTCCAATGAAAATGGCAAAGAGATCAAAGATGATGGTAAGTTTCAAAATTAATACCAAATTGAACTAAATCGCCTTACTAATAAACCATTTTCCCACACAGATCTCAAAGCTTCCACCATGGGTTTGGAACGTCACAGTTTACCCGGTTCATTGGCCTCGAAATTACAAAACGACCTCGCCGCAAAGGGGGCCGGTAGTGGTTCAGCTCTACACAATTTAAGCTTAGGTTCCAGCGCCCTGCACAGCACATTAAGCCATCATATGCATTTCCCAACAGCCACCTCATCATCACAGCAAAACAGACTGACAAATAACTCCGGAGGCGGAAGTTTAACTGGGCACAATTCATCATCAACAACAAGTGGTGCTAATTCATCGGGAACCACAACCAATACATCGTCAAGCAATCTCAATTCCTCATCATCGTCAACGTCGGGACACAACAACAGTAGCCTGTATTCTCCCTCTGCTCTCGCCGCCCAGGCAAATCTCAATCATTCACAATTATCGGCCACAGCATTTGGTAGCCAAAAATATGAACATCTACTAAGCGGCAGCAATTCCCTCAGTAATGGCCTAAGTTCATCGTCCACACCCTCCTCCAACTACCATGGCCATCATTTGCATCATCACCACCATCATCATGCAGCAGCTGCAGCGGCTCATCATGCTGCCTCCGCCGCTCATCATCACCACCACCATCATTCGCCATCGTTGTCACATCAGGTGGCAACATCGCCCAGTAGTGGTGGTAGCCTCGGTGGTTATAGTGTTAAATCGGAAAATAATTCAACAAATTATGATTATGTGAATAATTGCTATTTTGGTTCATCATTTGGAGCATTGAGTGGTTCACCAGCATCCTCGGCGGGTATGCATGGTGCCACGGCTTCAGATATGGCTGGTGTCTATCATCATCAACATAATGTTATACAGGCGGCGAAATTAATGGCAACCTCATAGATTTGTAGGAATTTTTAAATATTAAGAGGACTTTATGAATCGAATCCGCCGAACCAATGTAGTAACAATAGTGTGAACTAATAGGGAGATGTTTAAATAGGCCAGCGGAAGTGATGTGTGTTAGAAATAATTAAATTTATTTCGATTTACAAAATACCTTCGATTTTAGTCTGGTCATCAATGTATTTCAATAATTGACAATATGTTATCATTCACAATACAACACGTCAAACATTAGAAAATCCTTAAGTAGCCCCGGAAAAAAATTAAAAGAAAGACAGTAAGTAATTGGAAATGTAAATTTGTCTCATTGTTTTATCCCTCTCCCTTTTTTAATTTAAAACTGCCCAAAACCCCATTCCTGACTAAGTGCTGTCAAAATCGAACACTTGAAGATAGAAACACAATCAATCACAATAAAGATTAATTCTCAATGACGAATATGAATAATAAAAATTACAGCTTAAACCTCTTTAAAAATCTTCAAAAAAGCGTGACCTCAATTTAAATTTTACAATAATGACAGGCTAATTTTAATTAACATTCAAAAAAAAACTTCTATTGTGAAAAAAATCCCTTCAAGCTGATAAATATTCCAAATAAAAATATTTTTGACAGCTCGAGAGAGGATCAGCTGTTTTGCTTCCACGATCTTTTAAATTGCCTTGTACACAAAATGTGATCTCTGTGGTAGAAAGTAACAGCCCACTAACTACATTGTGTAAACACATTATAACATTTCATAACACAGTATTGCCAGATTTTTCCCAAAATATTAAATATCATGACATATCAATCCCTGCAACAATATAAAATACAATACAAAATATCAGTTTGGAATGACCGTTCGTCTCAATTAGAGCTTATTTGTCAATCAAGAGACATTGAAATCGACAACAACTAAAGTCATTCACAACTGATAGTAAGTACTCCCTTTAAGGCTACTTGTACATCAATGCGTTTTTAATAAACATAACCTTAATATCTACCAACGAAACATTATTTTTGAAAAGACTTTAAATAAAAGAAATAGTATTTTTAAGAAACCACAAACAAACATACCATACATAATACATAAATAATCACAAATATTATGTTTTTTTCCTCACCCCAAATTGTATATATAAAAATATAAATTTTATTAAATAAGAATTAGAATTTCTTTATAATATGAAAAAAAATCTCATGCATTTTTTGAAACGAATATTAGTTATTAGCCTCTATGATATATAAATAAATTGTGTACAAAGTATTTTTTTAGTTAATTTACATTAAGTTTCAATATACCCTATTAGTATTATAAGAGTTTTACATTAAGAGTGCCTTAGCAACAGAATAGAGTTTGCATATTGAAAAATTTCTCATCTCTTTCTGATTTACAAACAAAAACTAAAATATAAAATATTTCGAATTTTTCTTATTAGAATTCTTATTCATACATAAATAATATTAATTATATATCTAAAATTAAGTGAATTATGTGTATCGCAAATGTATTGAAAATATAAATAAATGATCATTTAAAAATGAGAAGAGATTTTAGAATTTTAACTTATTTGGAAATTGGGAGTGCTACTTACATTTGGTCCTAAGAAATATGGTGTCAAAAACCAATAGTTTCATGAGGTACAATTTTGCCATATCAACGTGTATATACCCTCATTGTACAAAAGACTGACGGTATAAAAATATCTATTAATAAGGTTACCTAGCAAGCGAATGTCAGCAGTCGAGTATAAAAAATGAACATAAAATATTAAAAACAAATTTTAATTCTATTTGCATAAGTTTATATGACCCATGCCTGGCATACAGTAGTGGTATGTATTTACAAAGAAGATATAAAATACGACAAAAAAGACTTACCAAAGTTTATATCATGACTGGCATACAGTAGTGGTATGTATTTACAAAGAAGAAATAAAATACGACAAAAAAGCAACACAGAGATAGAAAGAGATGAACGACGACGTCGAGTTCAAATAATCGAATAAAAAAGGGAGAGCAGAGAGGGAGAGTGTGTGAGTACAAACATATATGACGTCGACTACAAGATGCCGTTAGAAAACAAACTGCACTGCAACTGTGCCATTAAAAAAAGAATTGATAAAAAAAAAACAAACAAAACACACTTATTTAAGCAAAAACACTGAGAAAGTTTTGCAATTTTTTTTTCATAATTTATTGAAATTGCTATTTAAACACAAACTTTTTATATTATTAATACTATTTCACATACTATGTAATTTTAAGAAACGACCGAAAGATTGTAAAACGCGACACGGGCCGAAACGCCTTTTGGAGACATTTTGTCATGACGAAAGCTCAAAACAAACTGAGATGAAACTACAGGTCGGAGTTGCCAATTTAAATATATTGGTCGCAATTGTACGTATTTATATGGTATGTGTTTATATCAAAGAGTTGGCCTTCTATGGAGAGGTACCACAAGACGTTGCTTTATAGAACCTATATTAGGATTCAATATATAAAAAATAAAATTGCAAAGTGAAAAGAATGAATCAAATTGGAAATTAAATTAGTTTCAAATTAAATGTATATGTTGTTTTTTTAATGTTGATTCTTTGAGAGGAGGTACCAGAACGAGTGGACCAAGTGGATAGTGGATAGCATCTTCAAAGTCAATCTAGTCCCACACGAAGGAGTGGAACCATAAGTTCTATCTTCAAACAGTAAAAATGTATAGTTAAAATATAAGGTTATGCAAAATTTTGTTCGCATGATATTATAAAAATAATTTTCAGGGAATTTTTACCACTTTTTGGGGGACTTATCAGATTTCCTACTTCTTCGAACTTTGAAAGGTATATTACGATGTGCAAAGTTGGAATCAGTTACTCCTTTCGAGAAACGTGCGCACCAGTTAGACATACGGACATTTGTAAATCGACTCCAAATTTTCTGAAACGGATTTATTTCAAAGAATCATGGGGTCTCATTCGTCATAAGAGTAAGGGTATAAAAACCCTTTAAGTGAGAGAGGGCATGATTTCCGAACGCTGAATCTTCCAAATTTAGAAATTTCAACGGCACTCGAAAAAGTACAAATCTTGCTCTGATATGAACTAGGATTATTAAAATCGTACAAAAATTAAAAGAATGGTGGACTCATTTCATTTTTGGAAAATTCTCTATTTTTGACCACAAGCCATTTTAGAAAATAAGGAAGATCCTAATATTTATATGAGAAAAATGTCTTCAAACTTTTGGAGCCGGAAAAGTGTTCGCTATAGATAAAGTTCGGTATAACCGGTGTTCGTTATAAGCGAACTCGACTGTATTTGTTTTACAGTTATCGTGTCCGCCATTCGTAAAAACACAGTTTCGAGAAAAACGTGTTTAAAGCAAAATAAATCGACTATATCTACAAGAGTTAATATTTCCACTTACATTTTTATAGAAATTAATATAAGTTCGAATTAAATAAAAAAACACAAAATTAAAATTTAACAAAACGCATATCCGTCATCCTTTAAAATTGTTTTGTGTTTATGAGGTATATCTGTGATTAGCATTTATCGCTAGCGCCATCTCTTGTATATTTTAAGTGAATTCCTAATACCACATAGTTGCATTTTATTTAAAAGGACTATAAAATTGCAGTGTTGTATTTAATCATTGTGTGTAATAATGATTTTCGTATTAAACTTAGATATGTATTCTAGATTATATTGTATAAAGATTATCTTGTAAAAAAATGGATAGAATAGTAGTTTTGAAACTTTTTACTAGAGATAATTTCAAATGCAACCCTGATCTTCCACTGAAGGACTTCACAAACAAAACAGAATTCCTAGAAAATTAGAGCAATAAAATTCTTACATTTTTTGCTTAGTCTGCTTTTCCACAGGCAGACTTTTATTTGGCAAATTTTTTGTTTTCCCTTTTGAAATGTTCGCTTATTTTCCATTACCAAATTTTTCTTTGCCAAATTTTATTACAAAAGAAAGAAAAAAAACGTCAAAAGTGTTTGCATTTTAAAGATTTTTTTAATATTTTATTTATTTTTTATATATTTTATTATATAAATTGCAAATATTAAAAATTAAATTTCACTTGCACAAATTAAAACAACAGGTTTGTAAAGAAAAGCCGGCTGTGTGTCAGTAAAGCGAATAGGTTCAAAAGGAAATGTCAACAAAATTGTTTTCAACGAACAGAACAGGCAAATTTTTGTTTTTCTTCCTCGCACCCCTCTCGCCTACAAACTCAGTATTTGCCAAATAAAAATCTGCCTGTGGAAAAGCAGACTTAGGGGTCTATTTCTGTATGTATTTTCATATGCAAAAAATATGACAATAAGGGCTCATGTAATAATAACTTAAGTAAACCTATAAAAGCTGACAAATGATTTTTTTTACATTTTAATGCTAGTCTAAAACTGCAAGGATTTGGTACTTAGATTTACATATCGACTCTATTTAGTCTGCTTTTCCACAGGCAGATTTTTATATGGCAAATTTTTTGTTTTCTCTTTTGAAATTTTCGCTTGCTTTTCCATTAGCAAAGTTTTTATTGCCAAATTTGCGAATCAAAATACAAAAGAAAGAAAATAAAAGTCAAAAGTGTTTGCATTTTAAAGATTTTTTTAATATTTTATTTATTTTTTATATATTTTATTATATAAATTGCAAAAATTAAAAATTAAATTTCACTTCCACAAATTAAAGCAACAGGTTTGTAAACAAAAGCCGGCTGTGTGTCAGTAAAGCGAATAGGTTCAAAAGGAAATGTCAACAAAATTGTTTTCAACGAACAGAGCAAAGCAGAATTTGCGTGTACGGCAAATTCTGAACAGGCAAATTTTTGTTTTTCTTCCTCGCACCCCTCTCGCCTACAAACTCAGTATTTGCCAAATAAAAATTTGCCTGTGGAAAAGCAGACTTAGAAGGCATATGTGATCTATCTCATCTGTTTTTCATAATTAAGCCTCTTGGAATTAATGTATTTAGTAATTGCAGTATCTCAAAGGGACTGTT